ATAGGAGATGTAAACAAGGAAACCAGATACCAGATGAACAACGATGCCATAGAGAAATCCGATTTCGAGAGAGATTTAAGAGTAATGATAAGTAGGAACCTTAAACCAAGTAAACAATGTGTTTTTGCTCGTAACAAGGCTAATAAGGTACTTGGGTTCATACAAAGGAGTGTTAGTTACAAGACTAGCTAGGTCATCCTAAAACTGTATCTTGCTCTTGTGAGACCACACCTGGACTACGCAGTTCAGTTCTGGTCACCGTATTACAGAATGGATATAGAATCCTTGGAAAGAATTCAGAGGAGAATGACAAGACTAATCCCGGGCATTAGGAACCTTGAGTATAGAGACAGGTTAAAGCATCTTAATTTGCACTCCCTCGAGAGACGTAGAGCGAGGGGCTACCTGATAGAGGTGTATAAGTGGAAGGCAGGGCTAAACAAAGGGGACATTACAAAGGTACTCAAACTATCCAACCAGGAGCGAACTCGTAACAATGATTTTAAATTAGACAAATTTAGATTTAGGCGTGAAATAGGTAAACACTGGTTTGGAAACAGAGTAGTGGATGAATGGAACAAGTTACCAAATATCATCATTAACTAGAATACGCTGAATAGCTTCAAACATAGGTTGGATGCTTATATGAGCAATAGGGGTTGGGTGTAAACGGGACTGCCCAGTATGGGCCAATAGGCCCGCTGCAGTTTCCTCCATTCTTATGTTCTTATGTTGTTATGTTCTTATGTATTTCTTTAACAACGTCCTCGTTGTAGGGGGAGGGGGGACAAGTCTGTTGCCGTGGGGAGGTGTCGCTGGAGGAGGCAGGGAAGGCGGGCGTATGGGTGTGTGGGTGGGAATGGTTGTGACGCAGCCGGTAGCGGAGAGGCTTGGACTATCGATACTGGATAAGATAAGGTTGGATATTGATAAGGAGGGGCAGGTGGAGCCGGATAAGACGTGTTTTAAGTGAGGAGTATGATAGGGTGATAATTTACCCTTGTGGAGAAAGAGAGGAGAGAGGAAAATAAAAACAGAGAGAGAGAGAGGATATTAAATGAAATAGCTACAGAGAGAGAAAAAACAGGCATCAGAGGTGATAATGTGAAGTGTGAAGTCTTGAGACAAAGTCCAGGTTGGGGGTCGCTACCAACCTTTAGACCTGAGGCCTCAAGGTCTCAAGATCTGAGGCCACAAACCTCCAAGACCTCAAGCCTTAACGACTACAAACCTTCAAGACCTCAAGCTTCAAAGACCACAGTTATCAAGGACCACAAACCTCCAAAGACAACAAACCTCCAAAACTTCAAGCCTCAAAGACCACAGGTATCAAAGGCCACAAGCTCAAAAGACCACAGTTATCAAGGACCACAAATCTCCTAAGACCGCAAACCTCCAAAGACCACAAGCCTCAAAGTCCAGAAGCTTCAATGACCACAAGTTTCCAAAGACTGCAAACTTCCAAAGACCAAAAGCCCCAAGATTAAAATCCACAAGCTACCAAAGACCACGACAAACCTCCAAAGACCACAAACAAGTCTCCAAAGACCACTAACAAGCCTCCAAAGACCACAACAAGTCTCCTAAAGCCACAACAAGCCTCCAAAGACCACTAACAAGTCTTTTAAAACCACATCAAGCCTCCAAAAACCACAAACAAGCCTCCAAAGACCACTAACAAGCCTCCAAAGACCACTAACAAGCCTGCAAAGACCACTGACAACCCTCCAAAGACCACTAACAAGCCTCCAAAGACCACTAACAAACCTCAAACGACCACAAACAAGCCTCCAAAGACCACAAACAAGCATCCAAAGACCAAAAACAAGCCTTCAAAGACCACAACAAGCCTCAACGAGCCTCAAGGTCCTTTTACCATCCGTCTATGTCTTAATTTCTCTCTCCTTTTTAGGTCTTCATTAGGCTGTGCAGATTATGTGGGCAAGTGACTTTTAAAATTTACCTGGCCGGATATTTTATGGAAAAGGTTACATAAACATCTTAAAAGACTCAAATTTGTTGTGTATATCAACTCAGATCACTTGTGTTTGTCTAAATATTGTCAGTGGCGGTAACCCATGACATGTGATGTCATAACACCTGTCACTTCACCTTTCCATTACTGTACTATCTTATCTGTGTCATATTTATCTCAAGTCATCCATTGTCATCCATTACTCTCTATCTCTCTGTCTTTCATATTTATCTCAAGTCATTCATTGTTATCCATTTTGTAAGAAGGTCTGTCTGTGGCTTCCTTTTTCTCTCGTGACTCACGTCGGTTGGCTGGCTGGCTAAGGAAAAACTATAAAGTATATACTGTATACGTAGAATTAGGTTAGGTTAGGTTACATTTTTCGTGTTAAGTAAGGTTAGGTTAGGTTGGGTTAGGTCGTAGTCCCTATGTTGTGCTGACGTAGTTACAATTGCCAGTACCCCTTCGTGACTCACTAAAGGTTTCAAGCGTCACCAGATAATGACACAACACCTAGAACTGATAATATAGGTTAAGTCACGAGTGTTCTCTGCGACAAGACGTGTACAGTTAAGACCCTTTTGTTAACTTAATATCACGTACGGGTGATTTTGTGTGTGTGTGTGTGTGTAATAATAATAATAATTAATAATTAACGGTTTATTGAAAGAGCATGGCAGCCGGAAGGCTGAAAATATACAGTTACATAATTGGGGAATTGGTCTCTTGATTTACAATATACAAGTAACATAAGTGATACAAATATGATATATAATAACTAGGTGGGGAGGAGCTCAAACTACAGGGCATTTCAACATAGTGACAGTGCAAAAAGTAAGATTGACTGAGAGTGAATACACTGGTTGGTTACAAGTTAGTGATAATTTTTACAATGGTTGGGACTGGGCTGTTCTTATAGCGACCAGTTCGTGCTCGTATGGGCTGGATGCGGTTGTGGTGTGTGTGTGTTTGTGTGGATTAAACTTGTAAGTTACATTTGGGATCACCTGAAGTTTAGACACTAGCTTATTTCACCCTAGCGTAAACCTATCATAACAAAATATAACCCAGTTTAACCTAACCCCCAGGTAGCGTTACACCACCACAGCAAATCACTATAACCGACCACCATTAGACCAACAAAAGACCACCTCAGCGAACCACTTCAATAGACGGAAAAAAAACTCTGCAATAGATGAAAAGAACAGACCACTACCACAGGGGGAGGGGTAAAGCGCGCGCGTGTGTGTGTGTGTGTGTGTAATGAGGGTTCACGGGCACACTAACACCACCATTAGGCAGTAGACTGTAGAGGTACTGTATATACGTATGCGATAATTGACAGACAGGGAAATAGAGTTTTACTTGTAGTACATTATCTGAATGATTTTGGGATCACCTGGAGAATAGCTCCCCGAGCTTTTCAAATCTTACGATTATCCACGCTAACCTTTTCAAATCTTACGATTATCCACGCTAACCTATCCCCCTTGGTAACGTTGGGTTTTAATCATAAGGTGAAATAAGCCGAGGGGCAAATCTTTAAGTGATCCCAAATTTCGCGCAAGTTTACAAAATCGTTCCTGGTAGGAACCTTGGTAGACTATCTCCACTAAAACTATTACAAAGAACCTGGAATTGGGATAAGTTAGGACAAACTAACAAGATATGATCATTATATTGGTCAATCTTAACGATCGTCATTCAATTAACTATCAATTAAACTAATAGATATTCAATATAATCCGTCTTAATATGGCCATCAACGTCAAGAAGTAAAAAAAAAAAAAACTCGTGAGCAAAACCCACGAAATGCCTCCCCTGTTTTGGTTTAACTTTTTTTTTTGCGAGTGTCAGTATGGACGGGACCATTACTTGGAATAAATATGACGGAATATCTTAATAAGATATTAAAATAAAGTAATATAAAGGGTCTCCAGTCATCAGTAAAGCAGTTCCAATATTCTGCAGGACAGATGGCACGTGACGGGAGTAGGTGTAGTGTGGTGTACTGTATACATAATGGTTGGCGTGCAGGTTGTATTTGGCTATCTGGGTCACGGGGTAGCCTACACAGTGAGAGTGTTTTTGTTTTTTTTTGTTTTTTTATGGGGATTAGCCCACCCGGGCACAGGTCACTGACCCACATCGGGGCCTGGGGAGCGAAAATGTAATAATAGTAATAATAATCATCATCATAATAATAATAATAATAATGATAATAATAATAATAATAATAATAATAATAATAATAATAATAATAATAATAATAATAATAATAAAGAACCACAAAGAAATACAAAAATGAAAAAAGATCAAAAGCAAGAAACAATATATGTATGTTGTGTTGTCAATAGTAAGTGAAACAATTGAGACCCTGCAATTGTGTGTAAATGAGGCAGAAAGTCAGATAAGCAACCTGAGACTCGGTCACAAGGTGTGTAGGCCAGCCAGTGTCTATCCCCAGGCGATACAGTATATGGACCTGCACAAAGGGCGACAAAATGTTATGTTTAATCTTTTAGGTGCATGATCTGTCAAGCTGATCTTTAGATAAGTAGTTTTGTTGGTTAGTTAATCCTTATTATTTATTTAATTCACGCAAAGAGAGTGATAGTTGACAAATGATTAACATTTGAAGATCATATGAACGATAAGCTTGATAAGGTGAACTTGTTGATGGGTCAGATCTAATTAATCATTCCATCATTGAAATGTTGAATACTTGAGGTTATTTTACAAGCCCTTGATGTAAGAACACTTAAGAGTCTGTCAGTACAGCATGGCAGCCTTACAAAGGGAGAGACATTCACACAGATAATCAGTAAAATCATAATACAAGTTTATTTTGATTCAGTATGTGTATAGAGAATGGAGGTATCCAGAGGTGTTGAGAGGAGGGCAACAAGCCGAGTTACTAAAGAGTTAAGGCATCACCATCAACGTACTTTAGGATATGCAATTTAATATGTAATGGTATAATCGAGATTGTCAAAAGTGATGTAAAGACTTGCCTGCCAGTAGGACCACATATCAGTAATAATTTTAAGCTGGGCGAGATAAGTCCATACACCAAGTTGAGATAAAAACAACTGTGCCTCGTGGAAGTTCGGAACATCATACCTAAGCAAGTGGTCATATCTGCAAAGGTGTTGACTGTCGAGAAAAAGATGAGACATATCAAGATGTTATGGTCGAGTACAGGGTTGTATAAGAGCCTGTCTGTTGTGTTGGGAGAAGACGCAAGGGGGTGGGAAGACTATATAGGTAACGTTTGAGAAGCAGATGAGGAGCTAGATATACCGGCGTACAATTTTGACGTTAATATGGCTGTTATCTTTATTTCGTTAGAGACGATCTAAGAGTAATATTTACAGGGAAAATTAACCTACGAACTTTTATAAATGCAGCTCCATGTTAGTAATCAATCTCACCTGGAGGTCGTGTTGGTCACGTGACCTCCAGCTGCCCCTATACCCCCAGTTATCAACTTTTCGTAACCGATATTGATCAAAATTTATAAGAATAACAATATCATACTGCTATGCTGAGCTGCTTCAGTAAACGTTGTACCATGTTTTATTATTTATATTAGGGATAAGACTGAATTAATTAAGTTGATGGTATAGGCTACTGATGAAAAGAATGGGATTGATAATTTAATTAAGAATAAGTAAGGTTTGATAAGGTCAACTTATGTGTCCTTAGGTACTAATATATGTACAGAATTGTACTGTATATAGTTTTCTGTTGTCTTATACGCATTTATGTGTTGTCATTATTATATTATAACCATTAATCTAACTCCTAAATAACCTTATCTTTGTAGATATCATCAGGTGTTTGTAAGGACAATTATTTTATACTTTTATAAGGTTGGTGAGGCAGTTCTGGGGTTGTCTAGTAATAAAACCTTTTAGGTATATGTGTGTTTGGTTTGTATTTATTATGACTTGTGTGTTTATTTTTTATTCATTTCTTAACGTGGGAGGTATGGGTGAGGGTGGACAGTGGTGCACGCCTGCTGCTGCTGGTGCAATTGTGTCGGTGTACAGTCGCCATCGAGGTTAAATAATGATGGTCCCTACTTGATTCAGGGTGGCAGGCACTATGGACATCTATTGTAGGGAGTAATACTGGATAACTAGTACCTCGGAACATAAAGGTACCCAGTTACTTCTCGGTAGAGAGAAGAAAATAATGTTTAGAAGTTTACTCGAATTTGTAAATCAACAAGTCTGTCGCTTCTCCCCTTGATTGCCGACAAATTTATCCCTAAACGTCTTGTAAGTACAAAAAAAGGGGAGATGGGCTCTCATCATCCTGTAATTCAACAAATCTGACGTTTTTCTTCCTCACTGGCGAAACACAACATATCACTGGACTCTTACCTGGTTGGTGTCGTTGTAGACACAGACGGGGCCCATGACGATCTTCCAATTGCAGTAGGGGCTGCCCATGGACACTACCAGTTCCCCCTCATCTTCAGGCGCGACACTGCTGGCGGCCAAGTCTTCTTCTTCTACTTCTGGTGTGAGGGTGGTTGAAAGGATGGAGTCTGTAGGCGTGGTAGTGGCGAGTTGTAGCAACAGTGCCATGACGAACAACGTCGCCACCCTCACCATCTTGATGTCGCTGCTCTCACCCAGTCTTGCCATACTCCTCCTGAACCACAAAGAAAATTTCCCTTCTTAGCACTCTTAGCTCCTGCCTGTTGCTGGGTACATATTCAGCCCCTCACATCCAGCACTTAACCACTTAGTTTCAGGCTTGTTCAAGGGCTTTCTCAAATAATCTCACTCACTACCTTGGGACACTTATAATACCAGCCCTGTTGATTATACCGGAACAAGATTGTGATCTATAAGTTCTCGTTTTAAATCCACCCTATATTAACATAAACATTACAAGAGAGGAATAATATGTTTCTGTGTATGTGTGTATGCACCTTGGAGGTCGACTGAGATACTGGCATGTATATCGCCTTATCATCGTCTCTCCCTCTTTATCTGTCCTGCTCCAATGATACAGATTGTGCCTGCGTCATGACACGCCCACAGCACCAGGGACACGCCCACAGCAACAGGCAGCCACCAGGGACACGCCCACAGCGACAGGCAGCCACCAGGGACACGCCCACAGCAACAGGCAGCCACCAGGGACACGCCCACAGCGACAGGCAGCCACCAGGGACACGCCCACAGCAACAGGCAGCCACCAAAGGACACGCCCACAGCATCAGGCAGCCACCAAGGACACGCCCACAGCATCAGGCAGCCACCAGGGACACGCCCACAGCATCAGGCAGCCACCAGGGACACGCCCACGACACCAGGCAGTCACCGCGGACATGCCCACAGCACCAAGCCTCCACCAGGGACACGCCCACAGCGCCAGGCAGCCACCAGACACATGCCCACAGTACCAGGCAGCCACCAGGGACACGCCCACAGCACCAGGCAGCCACCAGGACACGCCCACAGCACCAGGGACACGCCACCAGCAACAGGCAGCCACCAGGGACACGCCCACAGCGACAGGCAGCCACCAGGGACACGCCCACAGCATCAGGCATCCACCAAGGACACGCCCACAGCAACAGGCAGCCACCAGGGACACGACCACAGCATCAGGCAGCCACCAGGGACACGCCCACAGCGACAGGCAGCCACCAGGGACACGCCCACAGCAACACCCAGCCACCAGGACACGCCCACAGCATCAGGCAGCCACCAGGGACACGCCCACGGCACCAGGCAGTCACCGCGGACATGCCCACAGTACCAGGCAGCCACCAGGGACACGCCCACAGCACCAGGCAGCCACCAGGGACACGCCCACTGCACCAGGCAGCCACCAAGGACACGCCCACAGCACCAGGCAGCCACCAGGACCGCCCACAGCACCAGGGACACACCCACAGCAACAGGTACACGCCCACTGCACCAGGCAGCCACCAGGGACACGCCCACAGCACCAGGCAGCCACCAGGGACACGCCCACTGCAGGCAACCAGCAGCCACGGCAGCACAGCAGGGACACACCACAGCACCAGGCAACTAGCAGGGACACACCCACAGCACCAGGCAACTAGCAGGGACACACCCACAGCACCAGGCAACCAGCAGGGACACACCCACAGCACCAGGCAACCAGCAGGGACACACCCACAGCACCAGGCAACCAGCAGGACACACCCACAGCACCAGGCAGCCAGCAGGGGACACACCCACAGCACCAGGCAACCAGCAGGGCACCAGGCAACCAGCAGGGACACACCCACAGCACCAGGCAACCAGCAGGGACACACCCACAGCACCACAACCACACCCACAGCACCAGGCAACCAGCAGGGACACACCCACAGCACCAGGCACCAGCAGGGACACACCCACAGCACCAGGCACCAGCAGGGACACACCACAGCACCAGGCAACCAGCAGGGACACACCCACAGCACCAGGCAACCAGCAGGGACACACCTGCAGCACCAGGCAACCAGCAGGGACACACACAGCACCAGGCAACCACCAGGGACACACCCACAGCACCAGGCAACCAGCAGGGGACACCCACAGCACCAGGCAACCAGCAGGGACACACCCACAGCACAGGCAACCAGCAGGGACACACCCGCAGCACCAGGCAACCAGCAGGGACACACCTGCAGCACCAGCAGCAACCAGCAGGGACACACCCACAGCACCAGGCAACCAGCAGGGACACACCCACAGCACCAGGCAACCAGCAGGACACACCTACAGCACCAGGCAACCAGCAGGGACACACCCACAGCACCAGGCAACCAGCAGGGACACACCCACAGCACCAGGCAACCAGCAGGGACACACCCACAGCACCAGGCAACCAGCAGGGACACACCCACAGCACCAGGCAACCAGCAGGGACACACCCACAGCACCAGGCAACCAGCAGGGACACACCCACAGCACCAGGCAACCAGCAGGGACACACCCACAGCACCAGGCAACCAGCAGGACACACACCCACAGCACCAGGCAGCCAGCAGGGACACACCCACAGCACCAGGCAACCAGCAGGGACACACCCACAGCACCAGGCAACCAGCAGGGACACACCCACAGCACCAGGCAAACCAGCAGGGACACACCCACAGCACCAGGCAGCCACAGGGCGCACCACACAGCACCAGGCAGCCACCAAGGACGCATCTACAGCACCAGGCAGCCACCAAGGACGCACCTACAGCACCAGGCAGCCACCAGGACACACCTACAGCACCAGGCAGCCACCAGGACGCACCTACAGCACCAGGTAGCCACCAGGACGCACCTACAGCACCAGGCAGCCACCAGGACGCACCTAGGCAGCCACCAAGGACATCTACAGCACCAGGTACCAGGCACCAGGCAGCCACCAAGGACGCACCTACAGCACCAGGCACAGGCACCAGGCAGCACGCACCTACAGCACCAGGCAGACCAGGACACACCTACAGCACCAGGCAGCCACCAGGACGCACCTACAGCACCAGGCAGCCACCAAGGACGCAACTACAGCACCAGACAGCCACCAAGAACGCACCTACAGCACCAGGCAGCCACCAAGGACGCATCCACAGCACTAGGCAGGACGCACCTACAGCACCAGGCCACCACGCACCTAGGCAGCCACCAAGGACGCACCTACAGCACCAGGCAGCCACCAAGGACACCTACCGACGCACTTACAGCAGGCCACCAAGGACGCACCCTGGACACACCTGTACAGCACCAGGCAGCCACCAAGGAGGGCAGCCACCAAGGACACACCTACAGCACCAGGCAGCCACCAAGGACGCACCTACAGTGAGCAGTACCAGCAGCACACCTACAGCACCATGCCACCGACACACCTACTACAGCACAGGCAGCCAGGCACCACCAGCACATCACCTACAGCACCAGGGCAGCCACCAAGGACGCACCTACAGTACCAGGCAGCCACCACACCTACAGCACCAGGTAGTACAACCAGGCAGCGCCTGGACGCACGTACAGCACGAGGCAGCCACCAAGGACACACCACAGCACCAGGTAGGGCACCTACAGCACCAGGCAGCCACCTGCACCTACAGTCAGGCAGCCACCATGCAGCACCAGGCAGGACGCACCTACAGCACCAGGGCCACCAAGGACGCACCTACAGCACGAGGCAGCCACCTACAGCACAGCAGCCACCAGGATGCCTACAGCACCACAGCACCTGACGCAGGACAGCACCGCAGACCAGAACAGCTGCACGCACCACAGCCAAGGCAGGCACCAGGCAGCCACCACACCTACAGCACCAGGCAGCCACCAGGGATGCAGGCCACCAAGGACGCAGCACCAGGCAGCCACCACGCACCTACCAGCACCAGGCCACCAGCACCCCAGCACAGGCAGACGCACGCACCTACAGCACCAGGCAGCCACCTAAGGAGGCGCCACCACCTACAGCACCAGGCAGCCACCAAGGAGCCACCAGGGATACCTGCCTACAGCACCAGGCAGCCACCAGGATGCACCTACCAGCACCAGGCACCAGCCACCAGGACGCACCTACAGGACAGCACACCTACCAAGGACGCACCTACAGCACAGGCAGCCACCAAGGATGCACCTACAGCCTACAGCACCTACAGCACCAGGCAGCCACCAGCGCAGGATGCCTACAGCACCTACAGCACCAGGCAGCCACCGGACGCACCTAGGCAGCCACCAAGGATACAGCACCCAGCCAAGGCATGCACCACAGCACCAGGCAGCCACCAAGGATGCACCTACAGCACTAGGCAGCCACCAGGATGCACCTACAGCACAGGCAGCCACCAAGGACGCACCTACAGCACCAGGCAGCCACCAAGGATGCCTACAACCAGGCACAGCCACCAAGGATGCACCTACAGCACCAGGCAGCCACCTGCACCTACAGCACCAGGCAGCCACCAAGGACGCACCTGAGGCAGCCACAAGGATGCATAGCACCAGGCAGCCACCAAGGATGCACCTACAGCCACCAGGACGCAGCACCAGGCAGCCACCAAGGGACGCACCTACAGCACCAGGCAGCCACAGCAAGCAGCCACGGATGCAGCACCAGGCAGCCACCAAGGACGCACCTACGGCACCAGGCAGCCCTCCACAGCACCAGGCAGCCACCAGGATGCACTACAGCACCAGGCAGCCACCAAGGACGCACCTACAGCACTAGGCAGCCACCAAGGAGCACCTACAGCACCAGCAGACGCACCTACAGCACAGGCAGCCACCAAGGAGCACCTGCAGCTACCAAGGACGCACCTACAGGCAGCCACCAAGGACGCACCTACAGCACGAGGCAGCCACCAAGGACGCACCTACAGCACCAGGCAGCCACCAAGGACGCACCTACAGCACTAGTCAGCCACCAAGGATGCACCTACAGCACCAGGCAGCCACCAAGGATGCACCTACAGCACCAGGCAGCCACCAAGGATGCACCTACAGCACCAGGCAGCCACCAAGGATGCACCTACAGCACCAGGCAGCCACCAAGGACGCACCTACAGCACCAGGCAGCCACCAAGGACGCACCTACAGCACTAGTCAGCCACCAAGGATCACCTACAGCACCAGGCAGCCACCAAGGATGCACCTACAGCACCAGGCAGCCACCAAGGATGCACCTACAGCACCAGGCAGCCACCAAGGATGCACCTACAGCACCAGGCAGCCACCAAGGACGCACCTACAGCACCAGGCAGCCACCAAGGACGCACCTACAGCACGAGGCAGCCACCATGGACTCACCTACAGCACCAGACGGCCTAAACCTCAGGTTGTTCCCCACTTCATAACCAAGGTGTTGAGGGTCAGGAAAAGCATCACCCATACATAAACTTCGCTTATATACAGTACCCTGTACAGTGTAGTTGTTAAATAATGACCGTTGTAGCTCCAACTCACCTAACCTAACCTAACCTAACCTAACCTAACCTAACCTAACCTAACTTTACCCCCAGATAGCGTTAGACTATTTAACCCCAAGCTGAAATAATCTGGGGGTGCTTATCTTCAGGTAATACACACTTTTACACCCACACCCACCCCTCCCATTTCCTCATCATACATAAGGGG